TATATATATATATATATATATATATATATATATATATATATATATATATATATATATATATATATATATATATCTATATAAGCAAATATCTGTATTTTGATAACAACATTTCTCGTAATAATCCATCCTGACTCGCGGATACTATAGACTCACAAATCATAATGAACGAAGTAATGAAAGGGCCTAACAAAAGAGGCAGAGAAAATTTTGAAAATGCCATTTCCGACGATAATTTCACGACAAGCAATTCTTCCTTTTAACCAAAGACCGGTTTTGCTCGAATCATTTTGAGTTATGCAATCTTATACGTGTTGGACGTAAACAACATATCTTGTCGACAACTTTGAGAAAGTATAGAAAACGCTTTCTGAAATCCTCAGTTCTAGAGATATCTCTACACAATCACAAGAAAATTAATGAAAAAATCCGTGAAAATAACTCTTTTAACGCGATCAGGGTATGTGAAACAAAAGTAACACGAAGCCAACGTAACGGCAAAGACCACGCTAATGCGCGGATGAGCTGTTTATTTGGCGTTTTCAACATATATGGACATTACAACCCGCACGACGTGTGAAGGGATTAAGTCTTCAGGTGTTTGTGTAGTGCGCAAAGTGCTTGATTGATGACATTGTACTAATATACATTAGACACAATTAGGCAAGCTGTTGTGATATTCTATCTATGTAGGAAGCGATTTATTAATATTTAAAAACGTAACTAGTTAAAATGTCAAATTTATTCAATAAATGATCTTCGTGTAATATTACATTGCGTATACTAGAAATAAATAAACCGCGTACGCGCGCCAAATTCGAAAACAGAGTGAACCTTGTCTGCTATGTGTTAGCTTATCGTAGCGCCATAGAGCAATGTTTAGAACGTAGCAATGAGACGCTACCACCGCATATTTTCAAGTTCTCTTGATCGAGAGAGAAATTGGTATGCGTACAATGGGTCGATGTGCGGGTATCGGACTAATAGAAAGCACGAAGACCTTGGCATAATCAACAGTTTATCTGACGAAATTTAGCAGATAAGGATAGATGATGTTTGTGGCAGTAATGGCAAGGCAGCACCATATAATTGGTTTAATGCTGGCAGTAGGCGAAGCAGCGAGGTAACAGCGATCTCATTCTTCGGTGTTTTGGCGCTGGCGTTAAGACAGCGCAACCTGAACGACGAATTCGTGGCAGTGAGTCTGTAGTCCAGATCAGACGCGTTGTTAATTTGATTCCATTAGAGCAATTTGGCGCCAATTTTACCTTCGGCGACGATGGCATATTTTGCGAGAAAAAAAGCAACGAATTATCAGGACGAGATACTGGGAACATTGCAATATTATTAAACCACATTGAACGGCAAGATATTGAAATAAAATCCCTGCGAAGTACAGCCAGCTCGATGGATGATAAAGTTAGTACCCCAGCGGCAGCGCATACTGAACATACTCGAGTATCAACAAGCGAGCTCCTATAAATTCGTGCGAGATAACGCCGCCGGAGAGAAGGCGTCAGATGAAAATAAAGGGAGAGCAAATCGCAAACGAGTTAAAAGAAGTGGAATTAGGACATGGAGAAGACGTATTTTCAATGTTGGGAAACATTGCTTCAGAAGATACAAAGTCCGATGTCTCCAGCATACTTCTCGGTGCCAACAACGTGGTGTTTGCTCAACTTGGTGCAAAAGAGGCGATGGAAGTTGTTCTATCGGAAGATAGCAAGTCAGCACTGTTTTCATCTATACGTGTACCAGACTGGGTTTATCTGCTGGCTGAAGTGCGGATGCGCATTTCAGATGCAGCATGGCAGACACTTCTAAATCTCACACAGCTCGGGAGAACAGGGGAAAGTTTTTTTAGTACTTTTAGTTCTCTTTTTGGAAAGTTTAGAATATATAACAAAGGCAATTAAAGCGCTCATTAATATGTAATAGTTTATACATGAATAAGTATTTCCTCTGATTTATAAATCTGTACAAGCAGGTTAAAATGCAAGGGCAGGCGAATTCGAATTAGAAATTTAGAAAGCATATGAAGAACACTTTCTTAAAGGACATTGGCGGTATATTTTTTATTGTGGTTTTGGAAAGAACTAAAAATTATATATGAAGTCCCTTTACAAATTTTTATATTTATCTTGCTTACTTTTTTAAATATTTGTATCTGAAATAGCATGCCAACTTTGTCTGATAATTGACCAAATTAAAGTGACGTCACAACAGGGATAAATCTATTAAAAATTCCTTGTTGCTGACTGGATTTTATTGAAAAGTTTCTAAAATGCATGTTGCGAGTTATTTGGGAATTGAAAAAGGACAATAAATCATGTTCTAGATTCAATTGGATATATGGTTGGCAAGATAAAAATTTATTTTTTATCCCAGTTGTGACGTAATGCATATTGAATGCACTAGTCCAAGATGGCGGACTGCCCGCTATTTCAAATGGAGATATTTCGAAAACGAAGAATGATACTGAAAAGTTGTAAAGGGACTTCATATATCATTTTAAAAGTTCTTTCCAATACCACAATAAAAAATATAAAGAAGCCCATTAAATGCAATTGTTTTCTCATCGATGCGTCCCTCATTTACTAGGCATACAAGTCGAAGATAAGCCTTTCTCAATTGTAATGGAGTTTGTTGGCGAAAATTTAGAGTCAATAACTATCCAAAAACTGCTTTATGATAACATATTGAAGAACGTAGTATTGTCAACTAATGATTGGTTTCAGGTGTGCTATGATATAAAACGCGGATTCCGGAAGCGGATTCCGCAAATGAGGATAAAACGCGGAATTGCGTAAAAAAGGACGAGAAGAAGAATAGCGTATAAAAGACTTAAATTATTACTTTTTAAGATCACAACCGCTAAAAAGCGATTGGCTAAAGTTACCTAGTTACTCTAGGCCTAACTGTTGAAGTCATACATGCATGCATTAGTGTTGGGAGGGGGGGGGGGATGTGACTTTTTGGACTATTTCTTAAAATTATGGAGGGAGGTGGAAAATCGTATTTATCAAGAGCGTCTTCATTTTTATCTAAGTTTCTTTGTTAATGCTAGTAATATTCGGGCTTTGATGGCGCAGGCGTCAGAGGAAGCGCCTTTCGCCTCTGAGATCGTGGGTTCGATTCTCGCTACGGATTCGATGTGAAAAGAGTCAGTCAACGCTCCGCCAAAAGTCGTGAGTTTTCTCCGGGTGCAAATAGAGCAGAAATCAATTCAAAGTAGCTAAAATT